CCTCTTAATCATTTTTAGTTTGACTTTAAACGTCTAAGTAGATAATGAAAATTATTTAGTGAGAATGAAATCTTACTAGATAAGATATGGCATAATAAAAATAGTTTAAAATTTATGAAGTTAGATGCCTTTTAATATATTTTTGATACATTAATAGTCCCTCAAGGATGCGCTTTGCGTAGATTTAATCTTCAATCTTTGAATTATGTCAATTTGATCCCTCAACTTCTTAATTTGTGTCACTTTGATGCAATCAAAAGCGATAATTTAACCTGACTAACATAGCGCGTGAGATACTTGTATCATTTAAACGAGACCACACTTGAGAGGTCACTTTGATCTCTTAAATTTGTAACTTGTATCATTTTGATCTTTTAAGTTTATAATTTATGTCACTTTGATTCCTCAAATTTATTACTTGTATCATTTTGGTCTTTTAAGTTTACTGTTTATTTCACTTTAATCCCTAAAGTTTCCAAAAAATGTGCCTCAAATGTGATCGCGTGAGATACATGTGATGATCTCTGTTAGTAAATTCTAACTACTGTTTTCGATTAAATTAAAGTGACATAAATTGAAAAGTTGAGAAATCAAATTAACACAATTAAAAAATTGTGGACCAAACTGACACAAAACTCATAATTTGGGGATCAAGAATGTATTTTACCTTATATTTCTCTTTCTAATTCTCATTTTTACTGTTCACCTGTCATGTATTCAAGTGAAACGTATTGTATAGGAATGACTACCTTATTCATCAATGGTGGATGATCCATATAAAAAAAAATTACAAAAATATTAGAGAGGATCTGAATGGAATAATTATTATGATCATCTACCCATTTTTTATGGCTTTAAAAATCAATATATTACTTTGAGCAAATTGCTTTAAACAATTGTTCGCCGTAACTTGCCTTTGCAAGTTAATTGGTGAGAATAGTATTAGGATAGGTAATCTTTAGGAGAGTAATCGTGTTACACCCCTAAAAATGTTTTTTTTTAAAAATAGGTCACTTGTATGGGGCTCGAGACTAGGTCATGACCCAAATGGCAACATTGTAAATTGTATTTAAAATTGAATAAAAATCCCAACATCTGGTCCATCCCCCCCCCCCTCTACGTGATCATTGTCACGTGGTATTATCATTCAATTAAAAGACTAGAAATAAGTAAAGTGAATCCACTATTAAAATAACTATTAGTAACCACCACATCCAATCAACAATAGATAAGATTAGTGAGATTCACTTTACCTATTTGTTGTTTCTTAATTGGAAGATGACACCATATAACGGTGATGACATAGTATCACCGTTGTAATGAATATTTTCTCGCTACGTTGATACATATTTAAGCTTTAAAATGATAGAATTATCCACCCAAAATATAAGTAGAAAGAAAAATGGTTAATTTATAATTTACACCCTTCAAGTATGGGTGCAATTTCAATTTGGATTTTGGAGTTCCAATTATAACAATCAAATCTTTAAAATCTTAATTGAGTTTAGATTCAGTCTTTTGATTTCAATTTGTTAAATTGATCGATGAAATAGTGTCACGTAACCAATATGCGACATATTCAGAGAGATAAGTTTGTTCTACTAAAAAATATAATACAATCTACTAATTATTAACCCGATTTATCTAATTTAAAAATACGACAGATAAAAAAAAAGGCTAAGAGCAATCGAAATTGTAGATAAGGGTTACTAAACACCCGATGAGATTTTGTTATTTCGCAAGACAAGTATACCACTCAGAATAAGTCAAATGTTGACCATTTGACTCAATTCCTCTAGATTAAATTAATAGATCTGAAATAAAGGATTAAATTAAAATTTAATTAAAACTTTGAATATTTAATTGTTTCAATTGAAAGTGCATCTAAACTTGAAGGGCATAAATTATAAATTACCAAAGAAAAATTTGTATTTATTTAAGGGTCCGTTTGGTTAGGAGGAAAACAATAATAGAAAGTAAAGTAAAAGAAATGAAAATGAAAAAATATATATTTTCATGCACGTATTTGGTTAGTATGAAAAACTTTCAAAAAAATTTCAAAAAAATTTCATTTTATTGTTTGAAAAAAAAGAAAGTTATAAGAATTTTTTTTTAATTGTCTAAATTACCCTTAATTATATTAAATCAGTATTAAGAAGGAAAAATATGTATTATAATTAGAAGTTAAATTTTTTTAAAAAAGTTACTCCTAACCTAATTCGGACAACCATCAGCACGAAGGTCTCTAAGTCAAATTATATTATTAACTAAATTCATACCAAGAGTTGGCCGCCTAGGACCCCCAATTTTTGTAAAATTTTGGGGCCCGCATGTAAGAGTTTTAGTTCTAGGTAAATATATTTTGAATTGACTAATTTGAGGGCCCAAATTTTAATTACCTAGAAAATTGTTCTATTTGCCAACTATCGTAAACTGCTAGACTTCTTGTCAATTATAAAAGGCCGATAGACTTCTGCAACAAGAAAAATAGATATAACTAGTAACATTTATTTCTTAACATCTCTCTTGTCTAAAATTGAGAATGCAGTAACACTATCGACTGAAGAATCTTTTAGAATTGAGTATTTTTTATTTATAGTTGTTCTAGTTATTTCTTTGATCAAGAGTAGATTTGAACAATTCAAAATATATGAAAATATTTTTTATTTTTTATTTTGTTTTAAAAAATTAAAATCCTTAAATGATGATAGTTTGAAAAGTTATTGTCTTAACCTTAAAATTTTTTTGAAACATGATTTATTTTTTGATATTGATGATTTAGATTTATTTCAAGAATTGACTGTATTAAGAAAAGTCTTATAATCTAAAATTAACACTCCAGCGGAAAGTCCTAACTTATATAAAATAATTAATTTTTTTTTTACAAATGCATGTAAAACTTTTAGAATATTGTTAACAATACCGATAACAGTTACTTCAGCATAATTTTTTTTTTAAAACTTAAATTAATAAAATCTTATCTCCGATCAATTATATCACAAGAAATATTAAATGGATTAGTTATATTATCCATGGAAAAAGATATATTAACAAAACTTCAATATAAAAATTTAGTCAATATTTTTGCATCTCAAAAGCTAGAAAAATAGTTTTTAAATGAATATATTTTAATAATTATTGCCTATTAATAGGACTCCACTTTATATTCTCGCCTAGGGTCTCCAGATGTTGTTGGGCTGCCCCTTCATGTTAGGATTAGGATATTCATAAAGAATAAATATCTCCTGCACTGACCCCAAGAATTTATAAAGACATCTGAATTTAAAGGTGCCTCTGTTACTAAACTACTCTCGGTTAAGTTTCCTATTAGGGGTGTTCAAATTTTTAATTAGCCGTAATTTTCTATCCTATCCACCCTATTGAACGGCTAGCCGATAAAATCGAGTTGAAATGTGAAAGGGTTTTCGTATTCTTACTTTACCCTACTCGTATTAATTAATTAATTTATTTTTTCCTAACAATATGATTTAAACTTAAAATAATTGTTATTGTATTTATGCAACAATTATGATGGATTGATATTTATACTATCTTGTGTTTTATTGTAATTGTTATTGTAATTATTCTAGATTTTTGTGTTATTGGTTTATTATGCTGTTAAATTAGTGCATGTTATTTAATTGAATTGTTAAAATAATTCAAAAATTAACAATTATAAAAGTGTTCATGCGATTTTTCATCCGACTTTCTACCAGATTAATTTGATAGAAAGTCAGATAAAAATATCACATTTGATCTGATAGGGTAGATCAAGAATTTTTTTTTTACAAAGTATTAAATAGGAAAACGAAATATTATATTTTTTACTCATAAAATAGGCTTAGGTAGGATAGGATAGGGGGTAAGACAGGGTGAACACCCTATTTCATGTCTAGCAACTAGATGTGATCCGCGAGAAGACCATTGCAAGTACAAGCTCTCTACATTTTTGGCTAGTCCCCGTCACATTGTTAAGGAAAAATTACACTTTCACCATTAAACCACAACTTTAATGTCATTTTACCATCTGAAATTCCTCAAAATATCTACTTAAGTATTTGAATTAGTTTCGCAATCTCTTAAAACTAAGGCCCTGTTATATTTTAAGAGAATTAAGGATTAAAATTTTATTTTAAAACGGTCAAAATAAACGAAATATTTTTATTTTTAAGAAGATTGAAATGAATTAGTAATGAAAATAAAATTTTAATATTTTGAGGTGTTCAATAATGTTTCAAAATATATTATAATATTTTAATGCATTTGCAGTTTACACAATTATTTTTGAATTTTTCAAGATATTTCAAGATAATTGAATATATTTTGACCAATGTTTTAAAAAAATAATTTTAAATTTTTTTTATGGACTTTTCCCAATTTGCACCCTAAAAGATTTCAAGTTTTTTACTTTATATGTTCAAAAATTAAATTTTTTATAATGTACTCTCAAAATATTAAAAATATTATAATGTGACACTTCTTCTGTTAACTTCTGATATTTCATTGTCAAAAGTTAACCTATTGATATTGATGAAAAAATTAACTAAAAGCTATCAGAATGGTCACATTATAACACTTTTATTATATTGAGGGTGTAATATAAAAAATTTAATATTTGAGAATATAAAATAAAAAACTTAAAATTTTTCAGGGTAAAAAGTATAATTCGCTATTTTTTTTTTTTCATTCTATTTTCGAAACAAGTCCAAATATTTTTAAAATACATCGAAATATTTTTATTTCTTATGATTAAAATAATGTATTAAAATAAAATTTTAATCTTTAGAGAGAATATATCCACGTGTCTATACAAAATAAAATGAAGTAACATAATTTTGAATGAAAAGTGAAACAACTTGTCTTCAAATTTGTAACCGACATTAATTGTTGAGAAGATTGAAACTAATAAGTATTGTTGAGACAATCATGTGCGAAGATATTTTATAGGGAATGATATTGTAATTTGCCGCCATTCTAACGGTGTTGCTTGAATAGGATAGGGTTTTTGAGACCAAGCCAAAGCCGTAATAGTTAGAAGAGCGTAAGAAAGTTAACAACATTACTCTAATAAGAGTCAACAAGGAGGAACAAGTCTTCCACTTTTGTCCCTTTTTCATTGGTCTAAGACTTGCAAAAGGAGCCAGAGGGCATCGAGGAACGATCATCATGTATCTAATTGTTTGTGGGAACTCAGGAGAAGAAGAAAAAGCAACAAATTGCATATCAGCAACAATTTGAGCCATTTGTAGCAATCGTTGAAATGGTAAGAGGAATACTGGAAAACCCAATTCGTATATTTACTTGAATCTAGAATTTTTTTTTTGTTTTCATGCGTCGAAGGGTTTTGCTTGAGAGCATTCAATGATTGGTGTCTTGTTTTTTGATGCTGTAGTCCGTGAATCTCGAGAGATTTTGTTGTTTTTTTTACGTGGGTTTTGCTTGGATTTGCGATTAGAGGACTCCGAAGTGGTGGATGCTGAATACCGAGTTCAGTAAGTCCCAGGTGTCTTGGAGGCAGATTCTTGATGGATAAGTTATGCTGTTTTACTACAGCTTGTTTTCCGGTAATCTTTTCTTTTGTTTATTTATGATATTTCATTTGATTGTTTGATTTTCTTAGGTATTGAAGTTTAATCAATAGGATGAGGCAAACATGGGAATCATGTAATTATGGGGATATTGTTGTGATTTTTTTTTTTTTTTGGGAATTGGAATATTTTTGTGATTGATTTCGAGGTTCTGCCTAATTTTCTAGTTGGGTGTCCTAAGCTTCAGACATGTTTAATGTACTCTTCTGGTTTCTAATAGGATTAATGATCTTCGAAAGGTGCATACACAGAGGTAGCACGAAAACCGTTAGGAGCTGAACTGTAATAATTATTAGGATGGATGTGGGCGTCTTATTAAATTTGAACTGACTCATTGCATTTTCCATGGCGTTTAGAGTAAAAGTTCATCCCCTAAATGGTGCTAGTAAGGAAAATTGGAAGTTCCACCATATCTCTGGGTATTTGATCCTATATGTGGTTTCTTTTACCTGACCGATTTTAGAACTTGGCAAATGAGAAACTTTGTAACCAGGGCTGGAAAAATTCCTGAAATATGGTCTTTATCCCTTGAATACCAACCAATTCGGCTAGTATGTTGTGCTCATGATGTCTATACCAGTATACATGGTACTCGAAGGTGGATTGGACAAATACCTACCCTTTGATATTTTTCTGTTTGAAGTAGCCACTCTTTTACTTGGACCTGCATTCTCATGCTTAGCATCGCACCATTTTAACATTGCAACAAGCAAGGGACCCATGGTCCAATATACGGATGAAAATAAAATATTTTTAAGGATTGGCAAGATTATTGCAATACAACTTCTGTTTGTTTTCCAACTTGACATGGATAAGAATTGATCTCATCATCCCACCCTACTGTATAGAATAGATGTCATGCTAGTACTTTGCCACCATGCTATTACAGTTTTGGCACAATTATTCTAATCAAATATTTTATGAGATATAATAGCTTCTAACAGCATGTTTCTGCCTTCATTTTTCTATAAGGTAACTTGAGGTTTCATTGTCTATGGAAGTAAATATTAACCAATACATTGCTTTTTTCTATCCTTCCAATGATTAGTGGAGAGAATAAGTCAACTTTAAAGTGTGACAGATTATAACTGCTCTTTGTTGAATCTTTATCAACTTCTAAATCATGCAAATCTTGGGGTTAAAGTATTTTTCTTAGTTTCCTTTTCTTCTTTTATTGATTTGGGAGGAATTTTATGATTTAGTATGTAGGAGTGCATTCCTCGTATAGCGTTGGTAAGGGAAAAAACCATGAGGGTCAAATCAAGTATGGTTTCAGCCTAGTAAAGGGGAAAGCTGATCATCCCATGGAGGATTACCATGTTGCTGAGTTTGTACAGATAGAAGAACATGAGCTTGGGCTATTTGCTATTTATGATGGCCATTTGGGGGATGGTGTACCTGCCTACCTTCAAAAGCATTTGTTTGCCAACATCCTAAAGGAGGTAGACTGTTAGTTCAAGATTGTGATGATTGTTTATTCATTTTGTTGTGGATATTGTTGTCGATATTCATTTCATGACATACACTTCTGGTTCGACTACTCTAGGGAGAATTTTGGGCTGACCCAAGGAAATCAATCTCAAAAGCCTATGAGAGGACCGACGAAGCAATTCTTTCGCATAGTTCCAACCTGGGACGAGGTGGGTCTACTGCTGTTACAGCAATTCTAATCAATGGCCGAAGGTTGTGGGTAGCCAATGTGGGAGATTCACGAGCTGTTCTTTCTAGGGGAGGTCAGGCTATTCAGATGTCTACAGACCATGAGCCTAACACTGAACGGCGAATCATTGAGAACAAAGGAGGCTTTGTCTCAAACTTGCCAGGTTCTTCACAAAAATCATTTTCCAATTTTTTGATTGATTGAAAAAAGTATTTAATGAAGTTAATATGGACATTCTTCATTTCTTCTCCAAGAAATTGGGTAAATTTGTTGCTTGGTCTTATAGTTTGTGCCACCATTTATGTCTTGATTAGGATCCATGGAAATAAACTGACTCGAAATTTCTTCGGTGCTCTTTCTTATGTCTTGAATAATGTCACTGAGAGTGCCATTTAGTACAAACAAATAATCCCGCACTGGGCTCTTAAAGTTTTTTTGTTTGTCATTTTGGAAGGAAATTTTCCAGTGCCACATTGATAGTGCTATCAATTGGAGATTTGATTCCTTGCTGTAACATAACTATCTTTTTAAATCATATAAAATAGGAGCAGAGCTCCAATTTTTAATAGAGTAGTACACTGGTTGCTACAAATTTTAAATGGAAACCGCTTTAAAATGCAACAAAAATATCACAAAGGAGTAATGAGTTAGTTCCTTTTTCCATCCTTAGTTGTTAATTGTCTTATGAGCATTGATTTGATGCTCTCCCTCGTAGCAGATTTGGTATTATTTTTTTTTGTGTGTTGCTAAATTGAACTTCATTTGGATGGGTGCCCTTGGGAATTCAAGTCAATCTAGAAGTGAATCATTTAATGGATCATGTTGGTGACTTTTACCCAATGTTATCTGAATCATAAGTTGCTTTGATACGTGGTATGTGGTACGGGCACGGTTACATGGTATGACATTTTTTTAGGTATATGGTACAATGGGGGCAGGTTTAGCTAGTACAGTAATTTAGGTCACAATTTATTTTGGAATTCTTATGTAGATTGTTTTCACTACTATACAACATTATATATTACAGAACATTCATAAACATTAAGTTAGTTACCATTTATCTTATAGTTGTGCTTGATTTTCTATTATCTAAACCAATATATAATTATAAATCTATATACTTATAGTCAATTAATATGTATTTTATATTTGTACTATATGTTCTAAAGCGAATTAATTTAAAATTAGTATTACAATTTGGGGTCGTCCATTTTGATGATCTAGATTGTGAACCCACCTCGTTTGGGATCAATGTACCCAGATCCTGAGTCGTAAGGGTGTAGTGAATTGTGGTAACCATGATTTTAACTATCTCTAGACCATTTTGACTAGTGGGTTGCACATCAAAACTATCCACTTTTGCTTGGGGGGCCAAAGCAGGACTTCATGCATCGACAAGTGGAATGCAAGTGGACGCTCTTTGCATATTCTATCGAATCAGGAATGGGGGCATTTTATGGAGCATATTGGTCAACTTGACTCAGTTTAGACAGCCTTTTGAAAAATGGGATGCACATAGTGCTGTCCATTTTTCTTGGGGGCCAGACCAGGAATGTAATTTATCTTTTGCGAAATATTATAGTAAGAGATATTGGACTTGGGATGGAATTGGAATTGGAGGCATATGGGTGTATTTGAGTCCCTTGGAAAATATTTTTTGACTTTGGTCTGCCCTTCCTAGTTTTGCCTCTCATAGAGATCGATTTCCTATTGTGACAGTCCTTTACGTTTCTTGAACCTTTTTCCACCCATCATCTTGGCTTCCTCGGGTGGCTCTGGTAGAAATTGATTTCATTAACCAACGGAAATAGATGATTCCTTGAGGTTGATATGTACTATTTTATGTAGCTTGTATCTTTTTGATGGTTGTCATTTTCTTTCCACAGAGAATGAATGTAGTAACCTTTGGTTTATCCTTAAATCAGTGGGAGTTCAACTAAGGTCACATCTCGATGCAACAAAACAATGCATAATAAGAGAGATTTTTTTATGACGGTGAGATTTTGTGGGCGACTCTCTTTCGAATATTGTCACTCCATTTTGGATGATGTATTGGTGCTCCACACTGGGCACAGAATATGTAGAGACATTCATTTTTTTTTTCTGCCCTAATTTCACTTAGTTGGATTTGGATTGTAACAGTGATGTCAGTTTTTAACTTTATAATGTGCTATTTTACTTCAGAAATAACTAAAAAAAGGCCAGTGATCATTAATTCAACAAAATTGCTAAAAAGTGGACAATGAAATGAGTAGAATTTAACTTTTCAGAGCAGATTACTGTTGTCTTAATTTACGATTCCTTATAGTGGCTGCAAATCTGAATCATCTTTTTTGAGTGATAGAACTTTGTGGTTGGTTAGATATTTATATGAAATTTGTCTAATTTGACAATGAATATGAGCATTTTTTGGTATCTCTGATTTGCCTCTACTGATAAAGGCAGTGTGGCGTGCATGTGTATAAATGAGCAACAGTGAGCAACAGGTCTCTGGTATCTCTAATCCTAGAGGAATTTTAAATATTTTGCTGTTAACAAGTTTTATCAAACAAGACTCACAAATGGGCGGAAGTTTGTTTGATTTCTTTTGTGCATTTTTATCAGGGGATGTCGCTAGAGTGAATGGACAGCTGGCCGTTTCACGTGCTTTCGGAGATAAAAGCCTTAAGTTACATCTGCAATCAGATCCTGACGTTCAAGATATTAACGTGGATCTGGACATTGATATTCTTATCCTTGCGAGTGATGGTCTTTGGAAGGTGATGCATATTTTCCTGAACTTCTTGGTCCGTTGGTAATAGCTGCTGTGTGTTCATACACTTGCAGCAAATGATTGTCTAGACAAGTGATTTGATAGAGAAGCAAAAATAAATTGCAGAAGTAGTTAATTTTTCCCCTTTGTTTGACATGTGATTAATTTAGGTGATGACTAATCAAGAAGCGGTTGATATTGCAAGAAGAGTAAGAAATCCCCAGAAGGCAGCAAAGCAGTTGACAGCTGAAGCATTAAAAAGAGACAGTAAAGATGATATATCTTGTGTCGTGGTTAGATTTAGGGGATAAAACCTCTTCCACCATTTGCCTCTCAGTTGGAGAATATTAGGAAATAAGAGTTTCTCACACAAGATGCATGTCTCTGGATAAAAGTAAAGCAACACTGAAAATTTATACCCAATTGGAGAGAACCTCTCAGGATTCTGGTTAAACTACCAGTGTGCCAGAAGAAACGCGAAGAGAAAGAAAAGGTTCCCCTCTGTAAATTTCAGTTATTTACCACGTCTGTGTCGTTTTACATCTGTTTTGTTTCTTTGTCAAAGCTTATTAGCATATATTGTTTGTCATCTTTTTTTTGTACAAATGATGGAGTAGCCATGTGTAGATAATAATGTTGGTTTGACTGTGAGTGGAGGGATTTTTTGTGGTACATTTTGTATGGTTGTTCGGAAGTACAAACTGTCGTTCTGCCTTTGGATTGGAATTTGATGATGAAATTGGGTTACTCTTTGACTGCATAAACCAGTTCAAATGGAATGTCATGAGAGAATTCCATTTGACATGCTGGAGTAGAAGGTATAATTTGAAATTTTCCTGCAAATTTGGTTCTGAAGTTGGGTAAGTGCCATATTTTCATAGCATACTTTACATCAAAATAAGTTGCTCATGTTCATCTGTAACTTTCTATGAAGGTCTTGAATAGCATTCTCATTTGACTTAAATGAGATCACCATGGAGGAAAGATTGTGGTTTTGTGAATTTTGGTGATGGTTTCTGTTTTTCACTGAAATTATCTGTGTGGATGGGGTGGCGAAGGGAAAGCAGGTGTGAGACTGGATTGTCAACCACACTGATTCCCTATCTCCATCCCACCAATTACCCCCTAATCCCCTGTACTCATCAGCACTTCCCGGGAACAATTGCATCCCACTCGATTTTTGATATTGCAGAGTATCTTTAGGCACGATGCTATTACTAGTTAATACATATTTCACCAAAATTTATAGGAGTCTTAACGTATTATTGTTACAAAATCAAGTTCATAAAATAATCTTCCAATGTTGTAAAATCAAGTTTATTGAACACACTGCCAAATGGTAATCCAAACATTCATCAATAGCGAAAAGTGTAAGGAATGAAGAGATAAACAGCTGAAGGGGACCACCAGAGAAACTTGAAAAAGGGGCAGTTCTAGAATTTAGAAAACATAGGGGTTTCTATGTTTCATTTTGTTTATATTTAACACGATAAATACATGTGGCCATGCAAGTCTTTTTTTTTTTTTTTTTAAATGTTTAAAACTACAAATTCCGTACTTAATTTATAAATAAGTGTATAATCTAATTTTTCTCTTTTTTTTATAATGTGATAATATTATTCCTTGTGTCTTGCACTTTACCCGACCAAAGCCGAATGAGAGTTATTGTCGTATCTTGCAATTTATCCAACCAAAACCAAACAAGAGTCACCGTATTTCTCATGAGTAAATCTAACTTTTCTTCCAAAGAAATTCACCACCACTACCACCCACCACCGATAGTAATGTAAAGACAATGAATTACATGATAGTAAACTAAAAATAGTGAACTAAAAAATTCAGCTCTTCTTCCATCCATAATATATAATAAAACACATCAAGTTTTTGAGTTTAATATCTTTTAGTTCACCGTTATAGAGTTCACTATCGATAGTGGTGGTGGTGGTCGAATATGGTGAAAATTTTTAAATAACCATCTTCATTAAGAATATTTTTATCAATTGTGTATTTTATGGATCTTTTGCAAGTGTCGAGGTTAAACCTCTCATCTTAAAAGTGCATAATGGTGTACCTCTTGCCAAATCTCTTTTTTTTTTTTTTTTATTTCCAAAAATCCAAAAATTAGATTTTGTTTTGATTTTTTTTTTTTAAAAAAAAAACTTCGTTGCTACTTGCTACTAAGATCTGGGCCAAGGCCTGCTAAGCCTTTACTAGACGGCAACCATAGTTTAACAAGAAGAAGCCCAAAATGGTAGGGTTTAGAGTTAAACCTCATTTGTTCTGTATATATGTATGCTTATCTCGTGGACTTGACAGCGGTGCTGAGGAGCTTCTGAGGATTGAAACAAGGTAAAACCAGGTAGAAATTGAGTACTGTAGTGATTTAATATGTGATATGTGTATATATATTGCCTCTTCTTGCGGCTACAAAGGCATAGATTTGATGATCGATTTCTTCATGGCTTTGTTCTGGAGGTGTAAATAAAACCTCATCCAAAGCGTTGAGGGTCTTGTTGTTACCCAGATTGGTGTTTTTTTTCTGGGTTTCTTCTCTTTGGTACATTTTCAAATTATGATTTACTGTAGATTTATCTACTTGCTTTTTTCATATATATATGTGTGTGTGTGTGTGTGTGTGTGTGGATGTGTCTAACCTTCTCTTTGAGGGGAGGAGGTCTGAGAGTCTTTAAGCGGCTTGTGACTAGTCTTTGTTTCACCAAATACACATTTTGTCTCTGGCAAGCTTCGTAGAAAATATTTTCGGTAATGGTAATACCATATGATTATCATCGTGTGGTATCGTTATTCAATAATAAAAGAAAATAAATGAGTTGATCCCACAAAATTAAGTGACTACCATTACACCATGTAAAAAAAGTGGGTTCCACTTAATTTATTTGTTATTTTTTATTATTGGATGGTGATATCACGTGATGGTGCTGATTTGATATCACTGTTACATTGAATATTTACTCCAAGCTTTGAATCTCAATCATCCCGGTGTTGGGGCATTTAACATCTGCATAGCACATACATTGCATAAGCATGATACATTTTCTTTATTGCTATTTGCGGAGAGGTTGTGACAGGGTAGGAAAATAGACAGTAGATTAAACGAACAGATTCCATTTCTGAATCCTTGATGTTGATATTGTTTTGTTATTTGCTGATATATCTTCCTACAGAATGTCTTGTGTGCATCTATTGCATTGTGCTTCTTCTTAGGCAGTAGAAAGTGAAGAAACATTTATGTAAGAAGGTTGCTCAAAGTAACGAATGTAGAGTTAATAGGATTCGACATTAAATTGTAGGTTTAAGCTTGGAAGTTTGATCACTCTATTGAACTTTATTATAAGATCTGCATCTTCTAGAATTAGAGTCATTACAAGCTTACTGAGTTTTCAATGTAATAGTTCTAAATTAGGTTAAATTAAGTGTACTTGTATCGTTAATTAATAGACAAAGTAGGCTCTTGAGTTTGATGGTAACTGTTTGGTTGATTTATATCGAGATCTGGTTTTATTACTCTTATGGTCTGTTTGGCAGAATGGGTGAACCATAGGATGGGTGGAAAAGTATGAGGGATAGACTTTCCATTTTTAGAGGAAGAAAAACCATTTTCTCTCATTTTTGTTTGGTACTATGGATGGAAAGTTGGATAAATTAATTTTTTATTGTTTTGTATCAGAGAAAAAATGAAAGGAAAGGAAACAAATGCAAATTTAATTTATTGTTATACCCTTACTAATAAAAAATAATTTTTTTTATTGCAAATAGACTTTCCAAGATTTAAAAATATTAAAATCACTCCAATTGGCTATAAAAATTAATAAATATATGCAAAAATATATATTAATAAAGTAATACTAATATAATTTTTTTTTACAATTGAGCCTTTTAATTAAATGGAAATAAAGGTAGATAGTAAAAATATTTCAACATTATAACTAGAACCATTAAAAAAAGGTCCAATCATATTTTTCCTTGATTATGTCAAATCTCCAAAATATTGATGAGCTTCACATGCCTAACATCATAAAAAATTGGCTAACATCATCACACACAAGAAAGAATAGAGTTTTGAGCACATATAAGTGAAGATGAATGTCAGGGAACCATAATAGTAATTTGACTTAACCCTAATCAATGACGCCATCTTCTCTCCCACTTTCCGCCTAAAAATGAGTGGGAAAAAATTGGTAATCGCAAGGGATGTGTTTTCCTTCCCATTTTTATTTTTACTGTGTTTTCCTTCCAAACCAAATATGTGAAGCTTTCCTTCTTCCCTATTTTTTAAAAAAATATTGGGTGTAACGGTGACACCACGTCATCATCGTCACATAGTGTTACAATCTAATAAGAACATAACAACTCAGCAAGTGGATTCCACATATTTTAGTAATTATTCTTTCATGTCATTTGATAACAACCAAATGGGATTCACCTTGATCACTTGTAGATTTATTATTGGATGGTAACATCACGTGATAATGGTAATGTGGTGTTACTGTTACACCTAATATTTATTTCTATTTTTCACCCTTCATTTTTCATTCACCTTTCCATCATACCAAGCACAAGGTTAATATTCTGAGCTTTATATTAGGCATCTTATTTTGTAAGTGGTTTACATTTAAAGCTAATTCTTCACAAACATCTTGAATTTAACTTAAGATGAGAAATGTGTGGCTATTTTTGGTATTTTAAAACACTATTCTGCGTACTATTTTGGGAAAAAAGAAACAATTTTAAAATCTTTTAATCAAATGTAAAATAGAAGATGGTATTACAAATTATTTTTCGAAATCGTACAAAAGAAAAGTTTAAAATGCCATGCTTCTAATCTTAATATAGATTTATAATAAAGTTATGCTTATCAAATTTATTTATCAAATTTTTTATTTCAAATGATATGACACAATTTTCATAATTGAAATACTAAATGGGACTCACTTATTTAATAGTGAAAAATGTGTCACTTCATTTGGGATGGAGATTTGGTAAAAGAACAATGTTATAGGGACCTAATTTGAAGACCTAATGATGTGGGTTCAATGCAATCATTGAATTGGTTGTGAGTTCCAATGTTAGATGGAGCCCACTACCTATTCAATGTTTGTATTGAATTATGTCCTCAGATTAGGTCCCCAAATTAGGTCCAAATAACATTTTTCTTGGTAAAAATATTTAATAAGCATAATATTGCTCATAGATTTAGGATGTACATTGAAATTTAGATGTGATTTGTTCACCTCTCTTTTCCCATCTCTCCCGCACAGATCATGTGATGTTATGGTTAGTTGTATTCTGCAATGAATTTGTTTTGGATTCTTTTTGTTTTCATCTCACTCAAAATCCAGAACAAAAATTATAATATCAGTATATTAACAATTTAGTAGATATAGTTTAATATTAGTGAAAGGGATTTCTGGAATAAATGTGTCATATCTCCTTGTTAAATGATATAAATTTGTGACAGATTTAATTTGTATTTCTCTAAAACATTTTTCATATCCCTAAATTTTATCATAGTCCAAAATTTGAGAGATAAATACTATAACACGAATTAACTATAAGATTACAAATCTTTGAGAAAGTGGACAGATAGTTTGATCTGATTTGATTGGTGATAAATTTATCTTCTCCCTTTGAATTTGTGTAATTTATTACGTTAGTCCTTAGTAATTTAGCATCTCACTAAATTACATTGAAAACCAAAATTTCGAAAAGGGCCTTTTGGCACAGTTTAAGCCTATTACTTCATGTCATGTGCAATAGTGTCATGTTTCAAGGGAGACACACATGACCAACATGCATTTAATTTGAAGATTGACATTTAATGTCAAGCTTTTGTACTTTTGATTTCGTTTGAGAGAAACAAAGTTACTGATATTGATAGTTCATGAATAATAAGGCTATTTGATTGGATAGGATGAAGTAGCCACTAAGAAAGTTAGAGTAAAGCTAAGGAACACCCTCACAAAAGGGAAGACTCTGATATCATAACATTGTTTGAAACTTCTTAATATGAAAGAAATATTTATACTTTATGTCTTTCTTTATATCTTACTAAATGAGGGGAGTACAATTTATATACAATGTAATGTTGTATATCTCTGACAAAACAATTTGTATTTTTGGCTCTTTGGCAACAAAGAATGGCATGTATAAGATGTATGCTGTGTAGTAGATATGTTTTGCAGATTTTTGCTACTCATGCAAAAGCTTCGCATTAATTGTGAATCTTCACATCAAATGCATGTTGGACATGCTTGCGGTCATGCTTCTTTCTGCATTAGCCTGACACTATTGCACATAACATTTGTCTCTACATTTATTATGTCTCACATGCTTCAATAATTGCCACCGTAGATTTGTGGATCGTGAACAAATTTTGTACAATGGTATGATGTAAAAAGTCATGATCCCAAGTTTTGACGTAATTGTCAAACCAAGTGTTTTTGGTTATAAAATAACAACTCTTATTTTCTTCTCTTCCATTTATGGCATTACTTGAACTCAAGGCATCTAGTTTCTGGGAGGTGAAATGGATTAGAGGAAGTGGGTTACTTGTCATACTGGTATGAGGTGACCAGTGATTGTCCCGTGAGAGTCTGTGATCTCACGACCATTTTGGTGTCTTCAGCCTGTTCTGGATGGTGAAAGTCAGTGACCTTGGATGATCTGAGGAGCATGTTTATCTTGCAATGGTCATTTTATCTTTTCAAATTTCTTTTTATATTATTTATATGGTTACTTCCTATATGCATTCTGCAAGAGCCTGGCTCATATATCGGCTGTCTATGGACATTTATGAGTTCCAAGCAACTGCTCAGAATCACTCCTCCTATCTACCAGTTTGTTACTGTTGCCAGAAGGAAAATTACCAGTTTGTTCCAAAAGCAAGCATGAGGTTAAAGATCCTGGTTGTAATTTGGCATAATTTGGCAGCCCTCCATAAAGGTTTCCCTGAAATCAGATATGAGTGGATGCTGCCTTAGGTGTTTTCTTGAATGTCTTGTATATGGATCCCAGTATTCATTTTTCGCAACCCCAGTGGCAATGTCAATAGAGCATGTTCAATGGCTGAGACCTCCTTGGGAAGAAGTTACAACTAGGAGAGCTTTGTTACCATTCTGCCTTGGAATGCTGCACTGGATTGTTATCTCTGGTAACAATGTTCTCTTTTTCGTCAATGTTAACAAGAACTGTAGTAATGTTGCATTATACTGTATTATGGCATTAGGGTTTGGTAGATCAAAAGGTATTATTTTGTCGTTTAACTGTGGTTCTTGATGAAATTGAGACGTAGTTTCATGATTATACAGAGTTACCCCTAACGACATTATATTAAGATTGTGATTTACTTTAGCATTCTTTCTGTTAAATCATTTATCATGAATTGAAATGGTTTTTATTTTTTTATTTTATGTCAAAGAAAGTTTCACTAATGCCCAGTTTTTTATTTAACATGATGAACTGAATGGAATTAGGATTAGGGAATGTCTTTTATTGTCAATCATGGTTCATTAAACTCTTTTTCTTTCTTGCCTTTGTCTATTGGTTTTAGAAGAAAGAAAATATAGAAAACATATTCTGCAATTATTAATTCTTACAGGCTTACAGCTAATGCAAAAAAAATTAAGAGGGCATAAGAAATTAGCAGAGAAGAAATGGCCAAACAAAAAAAGATTGGGGGCTCTCCAATTGTATAACCAGTTATGAATTCCATGATATTTTCTGTTCAATTTCAGTATATTTTGGGGGTTATAACCTCCTTGCTTCAGCACATGTGTCATCTAATTCATTGGGTTGGACCTGACAGGAAAACTATATGGAGATAGTTGGTTTGAGTTTGATCTTAATGGTTCAATGAACAGATAGATGTATTCAAGGAATAAATAAACTGATATGATTGAGCATATTATCAAAAAGTGTGACACATATCAAGTAAATTCTAATATGACTTGAACGAGAAAATATTCAATTTAACGACAATTTCACGTTATTGATAACACTTAGTATCACAAATCAATAATAATATACCTTATAGATAAATGTATTACACTATTCTAATATGTTTGTTATTCTGCAGGGTACTAAAATTATAGGATTCACTACACATGATATATTATCATTGGTTGATGATATCACATATCACCGAGAAAGTGTTATCACCCTGGCATTCAATATTTTCTCCACTCTAGATAAAGACTACTCATTTGTAATCGTACTGCCTATAGGACTTCTCAGAGTCCTCCTGAGTTTGTAAGTCTTAAACCACCAAACCATTCGAACCCTCTTGACCTCTTTATCTTCTGTTGGGTTATAATCTAGTTTGTTACTAGAATTAGAAGTTCTCGTCCAACAAGACTTCTTCATGTGACAAACTCTCCCACGAATCTATATTATCCTCTACTATAAATTCATACAATGGCTTCCTACTTTTTCTTCTTATACATTGGAGAAGAGACACAGAGAGAGAGCTATGGCAGCTTTGGAAGCTCTGGCAATGGCGGGTGTGGATTTTGAAGACTGCAACCTCACCTTTGAAGAATACGAGCGACAATTCATGTTGCAGCCACCGCCATATTTACTCGCCAAGCCGAGAATAAAGAGAAAAACCAGTTGTAATTGCACTGTTAATCTTTGCTTATTGAACTTGCATAAAGGGAAAGTTTGCAATGTGGATGATGAAATTTGCGCTGATGATGATCGAGAAGAAGTTGCTGCCGTGGCGGAGGAACGTTGTTCCGGGGAGGCCAAGGAAGGTGGTAAAGAAAATACGATCAGAAAAGGGTGGAGATTGGTGAGGACATTGATGAAGAGAATAGTGAATACCCTTGCCAACATGTCCAGCAAAGCGAAGAGAAAACCGGTAAGATTAGCAACAGTTCCCTGTTATATTGGATAGAGCTCTGATGTAAGGCTAAATAGAGATGCAATTCTTTTTTATCCTGTTTCAAAACATCTATTTAGTTTGCTAAATTTATTTTTTTTCCCCTTTTTATGGTTATATAACCCTGTGGTTTCTGGATTTTAAAATCGGATATTCTCCATAAATTCTTCAATCCAAATGCCAAAAAAGTTTGTGTGTTTATACTTTTTATTGTTGGAAGGGAGCACCCACTCTATTGAAAATGACGAGCGGCTCGACTGTTTGGCAATCCGGTTGAGGTGTGGAGTAACAATACCAAAAGTCTTATTAAATATCGCAGTGGAACATACGGAGTTGAGTATTATGTCATCAGATTTGTTTGTTGATCGAAATTAGACATAATTGTAAAACCCTAATTTAGTTTTCTTTTTCGTAGAATTGCCTTTATACATAAAATTTTACTTCACTATTTGGATGTAGATGTTGTAAGCACGAGTACGACAACAAATCAAAATGATACTACTAAAATATAATACAAGGTAAATATCATCCGATTTGATTGACACTCTTATGATGTTGTTAGGTTGGTCATGTCTCTATTATTTACTCCCATAAAGGCTTAAGGTTGTTCATGAACTGGGCCTTGCAAAGAATTAGAAGCGCAATTCAGTGTCCGAGATCAAGTTTTCCTTTGGGCCAATATGGCCCAAAGACTAGTTTTTTTTTTTTTTTTTTGGGCTGCTGAAGTTTTATAGAAATAATATTTTAGAAATAAATAAGTAACAATAATATGTCTTAAATTTAAAAATTACTTTTCGGGCCAAAAATAGCCCAGGCCCCAATGTATTTTTAATTGGGCTGCCTAACCCGTAGCCACTTCTAGCTAAGGCCAGAGCCGAGTCTCCATTCTTAAGAGCCCAGATCGTTTTAGCTCCATCCACAATGGGCCTTCCATTGAGTATGGTAATCCCCTCTATACCTCGATAATAAATATTTTTGAAACGACTTGTCCGATCTCTACCTACAAACGCTTGGATTCTCGGTTCAGATCGTTTAACACCCATAAGCAAAACTCATTACATTCAACTTCTTGTTTAATATCAAACTCAGCTAAACACAATTAAGTAACAGATGTTGGACCTTGTCATCCCTAATGAGAAATAAGAAGATATATAAAGCCACTAAGCTAGCTAGCCATGGTTGAACACAGATACTGAAATTACAATGACCATCGATGTCTTGTCATTATCATGTAAAAATTTCATTGGGCATCATTAAAGATAAGTACAATTAATTTTATGTAAGAGTTTTCAAGTTCGAATCTAAGTTACTCCCATTGATGTAAAGGACAGGATGCTGTCCCAAAATCCAAGTTACTTGGGAAGACTTTTTTTATCATGATTAATGTGGTGGCCCTACAATTCGAAGAATAGTTCAAGAGTAAATTTAAATGTTTTGAATTTGAATTTTGACAATTTCTTGACGTTAAACTGATTTATCTCTATTGATGAATACCTTAGTCTGAGTATGAATTGTCTATTTTTGATCGAATTAAAGAAAAAATTAATTGAGATATATGTAAATTGATCTGATCACCGATAATTGTTAAAAAAAAAAAAGTAATGTGGTGGGCCTACAATTTATTGGTGGTCTGATGCAGCCCACAAGAACCTGCTTTTTAAATGACCTTTTTGGGGGTCCCATTGTCCGAAGCATTGATACTGGAGTACGATAAGGTTGTGCTGGGGAATCAATAAAGGACGTAACTTAATCCATTGGTCAGTCAATGAACCCCATTTTATTTGATTCTAGTTCAAATCCAACCAAAAAAATTGATCCTTTTTAAATTTCTACCTTTTTTATCGAATATTTACGTTATCATTGTAAGTTTTTATTTATATCTCCATAATTTTAGATTAATTATAATTAGATCGACTATTAGTATATCCAAATTTAAATCAATGAAATATAATATAACACACTCCAATCCGAACATGAAATAAGATTAGTATTATACTAGTTGACGAGTCCTAATTCAGATTAGGTCTGGACCCACTTCATAGGTTGAAACCAAAATAATCAAAAAGTAAACCAAGCTTAGGTCCAGTTCAAAATTCAAGAGTCCAGTAAGAGTTAACGCGCGAGGTAGAGTAATTATCGGGATAGTCATGACTTTAAGATAGTGTCTATCCCCAATTGTAACTATTATATCCAATAAACTTATACCTTGACTTTCACGACATCGCCTCAACTAGAGCTTTTACCTATAAATTGTAAACTCTTTTACACATAGGAGTAGATCTCACACATCTTACTTTGAGCGTACTCTTGCGCTCTCCTCTCTCATATTACCTTGTACTTTTTTATTAATAGAGTTCTCTAACTATTATTGTCACATGTCATCCAGACTTAATTACCTAATCTTTGTCTCTTATTATTAACTGTTTTATTAATTATTTTAGAGCAATGCTATATATCTCAAATTTGTATCGCAAATGTGCATCCCAAATCAATAAGAATGGTTGGATAATTGGATTCTAATTAAAAAAGTTGATAGGACTCACTCATCCAATAATCTCAATTTATTTTGAATTCAAATTTGAGTTATGAATTTAAATTACATAGTGTTTTCCATTATTTTATATCACATTCAACTAATTTAATCTTGTATAAATTTTTTTTGTGCATCATTAATTAAATTTGAATTCATATTAATTTCAAATCAAAATACGATGCACCGACAGTCCTGCTAACCCTACCATCCTATTAATCATACATCATAATTAATTATGAAGACACTCTTTATAGTTTCTAAAATTAAAATTGGCATCCTATATTTTCAAATATCTTCAAAAAATTCAAGGCACGTAACTATAATTATCAATAAGGCGTGTGATTGTGATTTGCCCCACTACAAAAAATTGTTTATACTATTAATTAATAAAAGGTAAAGAGTAACGGTTTTGTCTCCACTTATGAAATACTTATTATTAGGGGTGTTCAAATTTTTGATTGATCGCAATATTCTACCTTATCCTACCCTACTGAATGATTAGCCACAAAAATCGGATAGAAATGCGAAAGAGTTTTTAATCTTTCGATTAAATCGGGTAGGAATGTAGAATACCCATTAATTTCCGTATTTCTACCCTACTCTACCCGTAAAAAATATATTTAACTTTTTTATATATTGTTTTAGTAATTATAAGAGTATTTGTGTGGTATAATTTATATTATAAATATTGTTATTGTTGTGAATGTTTGAGTTGCGAAAATATGTACTTATTTTTTGTGTAGATTACATGATTTGTGGTGAACTAATGAACTATTAGAGCAGTTATGATTTTAATGTGTTTTATATGGTTTAAATTTAAAATAATTATTTTTATTTGTATAACAATTATGATGTATTGATGTTCATATTTTTTTATGTTTTATTGTAATTGTTATTGTAGTTGTTTTAACTTTTAGTGTTATTTATTTATTGTATTATTAATTGGTGCATGTTATTTAATTGAATTATTAAAATGATCCAAAAATTAATAGCTACAAAAGTGTTTACCCGATTTTCTAAATGAAGTCGGGTAGGAATACTACACCTATTCGGGTAGGGTAGGCCAAGAAAAAATTTTTCACAAAATATCGGGTAAGAAGACGGAAGACAATATTTTTTACCCGTAGGGTAGGGTGAACATCCCTACCTATTATACACTTCATTTTTTATTTTAATTAAACATAATATTTTTTTAATTACATTATCAATTGTACTAAACCATTCATAACTACCAAAATTGGTCAATTATAATCTTTTTTCATTCTTTCACTTTTTTTTTTTACGTGCACGACCCTAAGAGTATAATAATGAAAAAAATAATATTTTTGATACATTAAAGATATAATACAAAATATTTATTTTTTAATAATATAAAATAAATATTCTTAAATTTTGTAGGGTATAATGTGAAATTTCTCCCTATTAAAATATTGAACTATTTAGTCCAAAATTTAACCAATAACATCTCTGCATCTCAGTTCTCTATTAAAAAACAGTAATCACTTCAATCGAAAACATCGCCAGCACCAGAACTCTCTCTCTCTCTCTCTCTCTCACCCTGTGCGTGTGTGTATAGTCTTCCAATGGCAAGGTGCTTTAATTTGACAGCATCGGGAAACTGGTGTCTCGCGTTCGTTTTCCGAAGTTCCGGCCTCCGCTCGACGGTCACCGACCTCGGCGACGGCACAATCATGCACTGCTGGGTCCCCAAGACCCGTAAACCCACCAAACCTAACTTGGTCCTCATCCACGGATTCGGAGCCAACGCAATGTGGCAATGGAGCGAAACAATCCGAGTCCTGATCTCCCACTTCAACATCTACGTTCCGGACTTGATCTTCTTTGGTGACTCGTTCACGACTCGACCGGAGAGGTCGGAATCGTTCCAGGCTCAGTGTGTAATGCGAGTCATGGATGTTAACTCAGTGGACAAAATGACTGTGGTGGGGTTGAGCTACGGTGGGTTTGTGGCGTACAGTATGGCGGCGCAGTTCGAAGAGAGGATAGAGAGGGTGGTGATATGTTGCGCCGGGGTATGTTTGGAGGAGAAAGATTTGACGGAGGGGTTGTTTCCGGTGGGGGAGGTGGAGGCGGCGGCGGACATTTTGGTGCCGCAGACAGCGGAGAAAATGAGGGAATTGATGCGTTTTACTTTTGTAAAGCCACCCAAGAGATTGCCGACTTTCTTCCTCAATGACTTCATTCAGGTGTGTAGCTTCTAACATGTGCCTTATGTCTAGGTTAAGCTCTGATTTAGTACATGTTAAAAAATTAATTAGTAGTTAGTGGAAATTCGGATGCACCGTAAATTTAGATATTTTGAATTCAAAATTTTAATAACATTTTCGAGTCAGACTCTCATTAAATTTCTTAATTTTGGCACCATTAATCAAAATTCACATAATCAATTTAGACACTTTTGGCCGTAGTACTAAAAAACAAAATTTGAATTATCTATTTAGTAAATCTATAATATAAAATATGATCGATTTCAATAAATTCATTTGACAATCTCAAATAAACTTATTTGACGGTCACCGACATCTCTCTCATTCACATTACACAAATCATTCACATTGTACGGTGACTTCAGGCACGGAAGCACACGTTACCCTAGTTGTTATATCAAATGAATCAATATGAATGTTATACAACATATTTCTTTTTTATTTGCCTTTTTTTTTTTTTTTGCAATCAATTTTTTTTTTCTCAATTCGAGTCCCTGCTATAATTAAGTCTCACAACTTTGAGTAAATTAGTGAGAGGAAATTTTTGTTACCGAATTTAGATCATAATCGAGTTGGCTTATTAAACCCGCTTAATAAATAAGTCTAGCCGAACCCGATTATTTACAACTTATATTCGACAGGATATAAACCTACCTGCCCAAATACATTATTTATCTACCTATATAAAATTTGAAGTTGACTATTGATAGTTTATATATACAACACGAGCCCGATCTTAATTTTAACCAAGTATATATATGGTTAAAAAAGAGTCGTTAGAGTTGAATCAATTTTTACACCACACGACTCATTTCCCCAACAATTAGCAACAATGAGCCTACAAATGGGAGACTTGATATGTGCAACGTTTGCTTGGTTAATCCAAGCTTTACCATGAAAATAGGTCACTTCCTCTTGTTTAACAATGCATTTTTGTGTAGTTCACCATCAGTTTTTCAATGATATTAAGACATTAATGCTTGATTTAGTTTCAAGTCATGCAGCATCAGAGTTTTCTTTTTTTTTTTTTGGAACCGGATGCAGTATAAGAGTGGAAGTTGTTATACCCCGTTATGATTAAAGTATCGATGAAGGGGGAGTTTATAGGTTCAAAACTCACTGCAAAAAAATTGCGAAAAAATCAATATGTGTTTTATCCTTGGTGGGTATGATTTACTGAACAGTATTATGGGGCAGGAAATGTGTACACAATACGTAGAGGAGAAGAAAGAGTTGATTAGAGCCATCCCAAAAGACAGGAAACTCTCGGACCTTACCAAGATTACTCAGGTTTTTATTTTTCTTACCACTATTGTATTTGTCCTAATTAGTTCACGAGCATATCTATTATGTTCTTTCTTTATCAATAATGAACAAAGTTCTTTTGCTTTCTTCTGATGCAGCCGACCTTAATAGTCTGGGGAGATCAAGACAAAATATTCCCATTAGAACTCGGTCATAGATTAAAAAGGTAATCCTCTTGAAAATCAACTACAAGTTATTGATTGTTTTAGGGACAATTACACTTTGACCCGTTCAATTACCCCTCTATCTCATGTGGGCCCCCCAACTTGTTTCTCATGTTACACCTCCAACTATGGTTATTTGTCTCATATCTCTCCCATCAACTATCACATTTTTGAAAGATTAGACTTCTAACTAACTCTAGTAGTTGGACTTATAGCGCCTCAAATAAAGGGGAAGGTATGCGATACCGAAAAAACATATAATTTGTACTATAGTCACAGCTACTCGAGGGAAGACTAAGATCGATCATGGACTTTCCTTAAATAATATTAACTTCTCCCTTATGAGGTTTATCTTAACCTTTAAAACTTGTAACTTAACCTTAAAAGTTGTAATTTTCGGTATTGATCGCAACTTTTTATGATCAATCATGTCTTTTACGAGTTGTAATTTTTAGAAGTTGTAATTTTTGGTAACAGACAATGAAAATATGTATTTTACTACACATAGACTTTAAAAATATGTAATTGTGAGGCAATGTAAAACCATTTCAAGCAGTTGGTTGGGGGAGAAAACGCGTGAAACTCAATAGTTGGGACAAAATGAGACCGACCAGGGTCATAGCTGAAAGCGTCAAGGTGTACTTTGTCAAACTGTAGTTTGTCCGTTCCTTTATTTTCTGCCAACTAAAAGTGCCCACCAGAAAACATTTATGATTCAATGAATGCAATGCACATTTTAAGTTGGGCAGTTGGTGATTTTATGCAGGCATTTGGGAGAGAAAGCTCAGCTAGTAATCATCAAGAACACAGGCCATGCTTTCATTTATGAGAAACCCAGACTGTGCCACAAACACTTGAAATCCTTCCTCATTGTTTCGGCGGCCCCTCCTCCTCCTACAAGCCCTCTTCCTAATTTGCAGAATGGCAAATGAATTACCAGCTGCAGAATCATTGGTGGATCGAATATTTAACTTGGGTTTTCTTTCTTCAGAACCAAAGGGAGAAAGGTAGATATCAAACCCAGAAATTGTTGTCTCTAGTTTTTTGTAACCTTTCAAATACAGTTCAATCACCAAGTATTACCCAAAGATTGCTTTTCAAGCTCTCACCATATTTAAGATACATTCTACTAAACCCCCCACACACATTTAATGATTACATAATATATACAAACGATTTAGAATCCGCAGTTGATGCAAACCCTAGCGTACTCGATCCATTCCCAACATGAAAATCTCTCAAAATCTTGCATTTTCCCCTTCTCTCTCACTCTCTAGGGTTTTCTAGGGCCGAAGACTGCTGATATCGACCATTTTTGGTACCTGTATATGATCCCTTGTGAGGAAAATAAACTTTCTTTCCCAGGCACTGGTGAACATGATAAACATACCCAGTAAGAGAAACACACAACAGTTAAACCTGGATCGTGTAATTTCCAAAGGCACATAATGACAAGGAGATGCGTAGAAAAGAAATCAAAATTTACCACACTCAAAGCCAACCAAAGAAATGGTTGAACGGCTTCATATTCAACTTGTAAAGAATTCACAACACAAACGTCGTAGTGTAGTAATCTGTTTAACTGTAAAGACAACAATTACATTGGGAGAATGGGAATGCGGATAAAACACAAGCCAATAGTCCCTATAATGACAACGATTTTCACAATAAGGCACCTCCACATCATTTAGTCCACTGTCTCAAAGAATCTTGATGTGTTTATTCAACTAACTCTGCAATGGCAACATATAAAAAAATTGATGTTATAACAGGAGGAAAGATACAACCATAGTTTTGAAACCCGGGTTGGACATCAACTCGACAAATGGACCGGGTTAATGGGACTGGTTATATAATAAAAAAATAAAAAATAATTAATAATGCTAATAAAAATGCTAGCAAATATTTATAATTATAAAAACATGCTAAAAAATATTTATAATTAACAAATCTTCTACCTATAGCAACTGAATCGACAAGTCAGATTGATAAAAAAAAAAAAGAACAAAAGTCTTGCTATATAAAATCATTAAAGTACATTCAGAAGAAGTGGGATATGCAAATTTTGGGTCTACTTAAACCAGCGTGCAGCTAACCATGCAACCCAATTCTCTCCAATATCCCCCTTGTGCGTAATTTGCTAAATAAAAAATTTCTCAATTTGCAAATAAAAAAAATTCGATAGTCTTAAACTTGATATTAACTAAAATTACAGGTTCTGAATTGACGTTTTCAAGCTGTCAACAGAATTTCAAAACACAATGACAAAAAATGCTTAAAATCAAAAATCATTAACCTATGACTCAAACCACTACCAATCACCGTTATCTACAACGAACTCATAAAGGTGGCTGAAAGCAAGCAAACCAATATCCATAAGCAAAAAGAGAGAGATTGAGATGTTTTATACAATATCATCAACTGAAATAACAGAGAGAGAGACAGGGATGTACTTGTTGTGTCTAGTGAGAAGGAAATGCGCAGAGACTAGAGTGCGAAGCAAATCATAAACCCCTCTTTTGATTAAAGAAGTCAACGATTGAGATGAGACAACGATCGATTACTTTCGATTAAAGAAGCAAAATCAGACGACGCTTACCTTTGTAGTTCTTTCAATCGACGAAGAGAGTCGCAGAGAGAAGTAAAGAGAGAGAGACGATCGACTGTGGAGGTTGAGAGCATTCAAGAGGTAGGGGCGTAAAGCAAATACCAATTAGGGCAAAAATGCCAAAAATTTTGTTTTTATAAGGTTTTAACTAATCCACCCAGTTTTTAAAAAACCATCTGAGTTGAACAATTGGGATAAGAACTGTCCGGTTCAATGGGTTTTGGGTGGTTTTATTGCTTGAACGATCCAATATGGTCACCGGCCCGATTCAGGCTCCAATTCACTTGGTCAACCTGCCAGGTTGGACCGAGTTTTAAAACTCTGGATACAACAATGGAGGAAGCCAAAAAAATGTGAAAAAAATAAAAAATAATAATCATTAGCATGCTAATATCAAGACAACCACATGGTATCTCCATTGAATAAAGTCATGAAAACTTCCAGGTTGGTATTTATCATGTCATATATTAAGGAACACAAAAACAATGGTTGATGTTATCTAATTTGGACAAATACCCCAAACTAGGACACCACCAGCAGAAGATGCATTACGATTGTGAATACATAAACATGAACACTGCAGTAAAATCTTACCTCCCCCTGAGGTTCATCACCCTTAGATTGCTCACCTGCCAAACAAAAACATCAATTAAGTTGTTCATAAGATAAGAAACAAACATTTTATTATTAATACTTAATAGGGAATCGTACAAAAAAGGATAAGAGCGTGCATAAGATGTCCAAACGAAGGACCAATTTAAGGAGTCTAGATCACATATATCATCTGAAAAAAGGGGTTTGCATGACTAACTAAATGCAATTTTCTTTTTTTTTTTTTTAATCCCCCACCCCATTGTCATTCTGGGTGTCACGACATGGTGTATCTATTGCTGTTGTCCTCTTCCTCAATCAAGTTTTGAGGTAAGAACTATTCATCTCTTTGTTACACTTCTGACACAAAATATCAACTCTGTCAAGGTTTCTTCTGCAAAGTGAATAGAGCGATAGTTTTCCTAGAAACCTGAACCTTAAGTCTCCTCCCATCACTTCCATGTAGTGTAACGGGCCACAGCAAAGAGATTCATCCTCTATGATGCACACATTATATCATATATTGTAATTAAGACATTCGATTGAATACATTGAAAAAGATTGAGGCAAAATAGAAGACAAGACCCAAAAAGAATAATTTCTCAACCTAGGAGACTAAATAATCCACAACAAACTAGCATTATTTCTTCAATTTAAAAATTAGCTTCCCAATCCTTCAAACAAAAATTTCCCCCATTCCATAGGAATTGTTTGTTTCTAATAGATTTGCTTCTACTATATTTGTATAAGACCAAAATTACTACTTTGGAAACTATTATCCTCCTAGTAGGGACGGAACCAAAAATATGATCCAAAGGGGGACAAACAATGTTTTAATATCGTTAAAAAATTCACACACCAAATTGGTAAGTACAAATTAATAAGAACATAAATAATATCAAGAACACCAAATTTATGTGAATAGAAAAAATCATAGTTATATTTACGAGGCATGATTAGAGATGCTTATTTATTATGTAAGAAAGCGAAAAAAAAAAGTACCAACTTGAATAATTTAAGTTTAAATCTCAAACTCTTGAACCCTTGTACACCTTTGATAGCATAATTTTACCCTGAAATCTGATGTCAAATTCGGTGGTCTGTTGTCGATATAAGTCTTTGTTACAAAAAGAGAGAAAGTGACATGACTAAATGAGATGTTGAAAGAAGAACACATCCAATTGCGTAAGGCCTTATCTTAAAAAAGGGCTTAGACATGTTAAATCTATATTCCTTACACTAGGCTACCACTCTTGGAGTTTGATCAAGGGATCCAACAAATACCAAATCAGTAGACAATATGAAAATTTGTGTGTGAAGGAGACATTTTTTACTATGCCGGTGGAGAGATACGAGTTGAGTAAAAGGACTTCTATAGATATTTTAAAAAGCTATCACACGCAGGCAAGATAAGATAAGACAAAAGAGCTGGAACAACTCTAATTACTATAGGGAACCCATGGCTTATGGCAATCTAAGAATGTGAAGGTGAAATATTGATGTTTTCTAAGGCTATTTGGGTAAAGAGTGGAAAACTATCAAAGGCAAAGGATATGTTGGCAGATATGGCAATGCATATAGAAGGTTACTCGAAAAGCTGAGGGAGGCCATGGCCCACCCTGGCCATAGGGTGGTTCCATCGCTGCTCCCAGGGGTAAAATGCCTTAGAAACTACAAGACCGGTATTAGTCAAGGACCAATTGCGAGTGCACTAAAACAGAAAGTAAAAACAACAATTCATCAAGATCTCAGCAAAAAGTTCAAGTATGACAGGAAAACTAGACCACGTGTTGACTAATATGACAAAACTCGGACTGTTTAAGAAAATAATACTGAAATTTAGCCTCATGTTGACCTAGTCATTTCTTTACAACACTGGCTTCCATCAATGCACTGCGCCCCAGCAAATTAGTAAGATAATTCCTTCTCTTGTACTACCGCAGCTCTAGACCTATATGCTTAAAGCTACTTAACCCCCCCAAAAAAAACCATGACTTCAGGAATCAACAAAAGGCACAAACTTGACTCATAGCATTTACCTCCCTCTTCTGAAAGGTCTGAGGTCCATAGTGTGAGATTATCCCTAAGAAGCTGCATAATGAGAGTGCTATCCTTATAGGATTCTTCATTGAGGCTATCAAGTTCTGCAATAGCCTCATCAAATGCATGTTTAGCTACGTGGCAAGCCCTACACAGCACAAAGAATGTTTGCATGCAACTTAAATAGGCAACAATAAAATGAACATAAAATTAATAATATTTTTATCAAAGAAGGAGATGTAAAAGAACAAAAGAATAATTAGTTATTTATTGCAATTATAATCCTGCTAAAAGGAAAATTTTTAAAGGAGAGAAAAAGAGAGATGTCAACCTTTCGGGGGAGTTAAAGATCTCGTAGTAAAAAACAGAAAAGTTCAAAGCCAAACCGAGCCTAATTGGATGGGTTGGGGGAAGATCAGAGGAAGCAATCTTAGTCGCAGCCTGCAGCAGAAATAATAATTTGATTAACTCTAGAGCTGCGAATATGAATATGCAAACAAGAACGATAAATGAGATTATGAAAATCATCCAAATAAATGAAAAAAAAAATAAATAAGTAGTATAATCGTAGATAAAAGGAGATAAGAAAAAGAATGGAAGGAACCTCATAAGCCTTGATTGACTGATCTGCCTCTTTTTTACGATAATTTCCTGTTTTAAACTCGGCTAAATAACGACAGTAATCTCCCTTCCTGCAAACAAAAGGAAGAAAGATTCACAGATCAAATAATGATGTAAACAAAGAGAAAACCTTGTAGGTCTTTGAATATTGGTACAAACTAAATCAAGCAAATCCAGTGAATTCAAAAGGAGAGATTCTCAGAGTTAATCCTCTTAGAAACGAAAATGAATGCTCCTCCTCATCTAATACCGAGTTTGAAAAGATATCACTAAAAATTTAAGAGAAGCTCACATACAGACAAATCATCAGTAGATCAATAAATACCCACAGACAAATAACGCATGTTCGTATTAAATATTTACACCCACATGATCCAAATCTACTGATCTAATTGTCCAGGATTTGATGTTTTGGTTGACAACACATATCCTACTTAGACATCCATTCCAATCGAAAATCCCTCAATCAAAAAGATCAAGGGGTATAAGAAAGCGAACAAGACAAAAATTACTCACATTTTATAGTAGAAAACAGTTGATTCTCCAGTTGAGGATGATGGGAGCAGGTGTTCATCAATTACTGACAAAATGTCACTGCATATCTTTGTAAGCTCATCCTCAACCCTTTGTCGGTAATCCCTTATCCTTTTCACATTTTGCTCGTGCCCCCTACCCTCCTCCTTTTGTTCAATGGATGACAAAATACGCCATGATGCCCTTCTTGCCCCAATTACATTCTTATACGCAACTGACACCAGATTCCTCTCCTCCACAGTCAGCTCCACATCCAATATTGCAACCTTCTTCATTGCTTCAACCATCTCTGGAGAATCAGCAAATGAAAGAATATAAACATGAATACAACATAATAAAGAAAACTAACCTACAGTCAATAAAACCATTTGACATTCTTATATGCTTAATTCAGAAGTAAAAGAAGTGATGAGTGTTTGGTCGACACCTGAAAGTATTAAGAAAAGAAAAACGAAAGGAAAAGATACACAAAAAAAAAAAAAAAAAATACTACGAGATGGTGTCACATATGAGAAATATATAAACAAAATTTAATACCTTAACACACACAATGTTTTCACAAATACACACTGACATACTTTAACATACAGAGCTATGACTAGACTAGTTTCAAAAGCTAAAAGAACACGGGACCATTAAAGTGGGTACAGAAACTACAATATATTGTAATGAACCCATTCTATTGTAATTATGAAATTCTTTCATACGTTTTTGATGAGTTCTTTTACCCCGAATCAAAGATAAATCCCACCAAACTTTCATTTGGGGTATTCATTCAGAACCTAATTGAGAATTTTAACATATAAAGTAATTTTATAGGTCCTTAGTAATAGAGATGATCTCTTAGTCCAGCACACCCACTGAGATGAAAAACTATTATGACCATGCTGCACTAAATAATGGTAAAAATCTATAACTACACCCACACACAGAATTCTGTACACACTTAATAAAAAACATATCAAACCAACATTATGTATGCAAAATCCAGTCCCCAACAGGTACTATCACTTAATCAAAAGATTGGGACCCCTCCCACTTATCTAGTTAAGTTATAACATAATACAATCCAAAAGTGAAAAGATTACAATAAATTAAACATTTTGCAATTGATCGAGTAAATCAGCAAATATTCATTCATAAACCTAAACAGTATAATCTAATCACAATCCAGTAGTCTGCTTCCCATCCTGCAACCATCAAATAGATACCCAGAAAAGAACAGTACCCACAAACCCCATAAAACAATCAAGAAATAAATAAGGGGAAAAAAGGTCTACACTTGCATAGTTGCATAAACCTATCTATATATACATTTTCTTCTTTTAGGTAAAAAAAAGAGAGGAATACATAGGAATACCATCATATCTCTCAGCTTGCTCTGCTAGTCTAGCCAAGTAAACTTGCTGCTGTCTCTCCGCCATACCCCTCTGTCTCTCTCTCTCCCTCGGTCTCTCTGACTATGATTCTCTCGCTCGCTCTCCTTTCGTTTAATGTCACTTTGATCGTTGAGAGATGCTTGGATTTTTAATTTATACCCTCAAATATTAAAAATTTTAATTTATACCTTAATATTATAAATTAATTGCAATGTGGATCTTGCCCAAACTACTGTTTAATTTTTGTCATAAATTGAAGTACATGAATTGCAACTGCTTTAATAAACTTATACATAAGTTTACAATGGCTCATGTGAGTTGCACATTATAGACTTAACATCTATTTTGATTAATAAAATCTTATTTTCAAAACATAAAATCAAATGTAAAATGATCGCAGACAAAGATCTATAGCAATGGACACACCTCATGCTCATGCCTGAAGTATATGCAATTCATTTGCTTCAATTTATGATAGAAAATTGAACGACAAGTTAAGCGAAATTCATATTATTATCAATTTATAAAATTAAAGGTATAAATTAAAATTTTTAATGTTCGAGGATGTAAATTAAAAATTAAAATACCTTTTATGGAAAGTGAGATATCAAAATAATAATAATAAAAAAAAAGAATTAAAGATTAGATTTAAAGGGCATGAAATGTTCATATGATATAATAAATTCGAATTTAAAATTCAATCTAAAGGCGCTTACTTATCATTTGTCTCTTTTTATATTCTATTGTACCTTTTATAATTTAACTATACATAAAATTTTTGTACAATTAATTTCAGATTGTAATAGCCATGAGAAAGGGGCTATCCCACGTCGGATGACCTTTAGGGTGTGTGTGTGTGTGTGTAAGATCCTCTACCGCTTACACTCTTAAGTATAAGTTTCAGAGTGATTCTGTGTTAAAAAAAATAGAAAATTTGTGTGCTCGAGTCTGCCCCACGCATATGTGTGTGGGTCCCGTCTGCCATTGAAAAATGGTTCAAAAATGTGTCGTTGGAGACTGGAATTATTTCACATCGGATGACCTTGGGATTGTGTATGTGTATATAAGGTCTTATGCCGCTTATACTCTTAAGTGTAAGTTTCAGAGTGATTCTTTGTTACAAAAAAAATAAACATGAAAAAACACCTGCATCTCGTATCGAACCCAAGCGCATCATGCATGCTTTGACCTCCTTAGATTAAACTGTTTTGGCCTAAGGTCCGTAGGTTATAAGGGAAGTCTCGAGACATTTATGCTCCGTTTGGTACGATAGAAAAGTGAGAGTATGAAAAGTTGAAGAGATAAATAAAACATCATATTTGGTTTAAGAAGGAAAGTAGAAAAGATGAAAAAGTAGATGGATTAACTTTCCTTCAACTCACCAAAATCAATCCCTCCAAAATCGTAAGGAAAGCTAATTATTTGTGTTGAGATGTATCTTATTTGTCTATATATTTTATGTATACATTAATTTCATATAAAAATGCAATGGTAAAATATGTATACATATTTTTAAAATATTTAAAATAAATTAAAAAATTAAAAAATTTTAAATTTTAAATTAAAAAATATATATTTTTTCCATCTTAACTAAGGATGAAAATTTTCGACTCAACACAATGACGCGACTCGAACTCGATACAAAAATAAACAAGTCAACTTGCAACTCCACACGACATAATTAATTAAATGAGTTAAGTTAGGTTTGACTAATATTCGACACAAATTCGTAATGACTCAACGCGAATCTGACACGACATGATTTGACTCAATTGCCATCCCTAATCTTAGCTAGCACAAAAAAAAAAAAAATTTATTTTTATTTTTCATCCATCCAACCAAAAACAAAGGAAGGAAAATATATCCTTCTTATTTTCTACCTTTGAAGAATAGAAAGTTCATTTTTCATACTTTTCATCCTTCCCACTTTGCATCCTCCGTACCAAACAGAGCATTTGAGAAAAATCATGCGGAGTTTTTTCAAGATTTGAAAACTTGTTCACAGCAGTGAAATCTCGAAAGACTTTTCTTCTGTCTTTTGCATTTTAAAATAAAGGTGGCCAATTACAATAAAATTGTAATTCTTCCATATATAATTTGCATTTTATTATTACTAGTTAATCAGACATATTAAGTTTTTCAATAAATAATTAGGGATCTATCTATTATATTTATAATAAGATGATGAAAATCATTATGTGAAGTAAGATTTGACTCCCATCACTAACTTATTTCCGTTCATATTGTATGCTTTGTTGTTGATTCACAATGTATCCTCTCGATTTCATCGTTAAGTTTTTTTTTTTTTTTTTAAAATAATGTTATCACCCAATATTTTTTTAAGAGTATGAGAGTAAGCCATAATACAATGGTAAAATTATTTTATTATTATATGTGACGAGCTTAGATTCAAATCAAGTCTGCGTTCTGTTTATAGGTTGAGTCCAAACCATCAAAAGACAGACAAAGTTTAGCTCATGACTTCAGTCTTGTCCAAAGTTCAAGAGTCCAAAAGTCAACGTACGTGAAAGAATAATTATCAGGATAACCATAACTCTAAGATAGTGTCTATTTCTAATTGTAGCTATCCTTTTAAGTAAACTTGTACCTTGACGATCGCCTCAGCACACTCCTCACCCTGAACATATTCTTACTCTCTCTCCCTCTCTCCTTCTACTTTGTATTATCTGATTAATAGAGTTTTTCGACCACCATTGCCGCCTTCTGTGGTTAAACCATTAAGATCCAATCACCTAATTTTTATTTTTTATTATTAATTGTTATACACTATATATTCAACTTATTTGGTTGTGCATGGTTAATTTTGTGTATCATTAATGTTATGAGTTTTAGTAACATAATCATTCTCTTTACCTACGATCGTAAAATTGTAAACATATGATTTTTTTCAAAACGTGCATACATAGAAATCTCGCAGACTAATCATTTTTCTATTAAGAAAAAAAATAAGTAGACGTGAGAGATGGGACCCAACCAGTTGTTGCTTCACCCACCAAGTGGCTAAAAGGTCCCCCGGATATGGATTGCCAATTTCTTTCCACGATCACGCAAAAAAGCAGCGAAATGGTCCCAAAAATCATATGCTTCACCTACTCTCCTAACTCTAAACAATGGAGACATCATTTTTGCTGCATGTGATGTGGGCGCCATTGCCATGAATCACTTGTCACACTTCAACCAGCTAGCTAATAACTCAATTTGCCTGCACTTGACCTTATACCATTGATCAATAATTTCATGAAATTTATATTTTGATTTATAAATTAGTTGGTCGTATCAAAAATAATATGTTGATATTACCACTTGGGCGGTCAAGGTGGTACCCAAATTGTTTTCTCAAAGAAAATATTATAGATTTGATCGTGACATTTACAAGTAATATTTGTATTAATAATAATAGTAACAATAACAATCATAATCAATCAATGTGTAAGATTTCTTATATTTAATCAGATTGAGGAAATTAGTCAACGTGTGCGTAAACTGATCCAAACATCCCTAACCAGTGAATTAAAAGAAAATCAGTGTGCATGATTTCACCATGACCCCCCCCCCCCCCCCCCCAATTTCTTTTTGTGGGTAAACAACCATCAATTTTTAGTGCAACAAGAGCAAGAAAACGTCTATGTAATTCTGCCCTCTTTTTTTTTCTTTGGCTTTATTCAAGAACTTGTTTGAATAGTAATCTTTAACTGTCAAAAGTCTACAAACGTTCACACCATAACTTGAGAATAGTTATAAATATTCCTGATATTTTTTAATACAGGTTCAACAGGATTTGCTAAGTGGTTTAGAGGGAGTTTGGATGACAGACATCTTCTCTTTGGTTCTCTGAATACCTTTGGAAAGCTGCAAAGCTCTCCTTCAGCATCATTGGAGCGGTTTTACAGAGAGTCTAACCACACTTCACTTACATTGATCATTCAAGAGGTTTGTCAACACTCCTCAAAGGTTAACAAACCTGCAATCTAAAAATAGTTTCCCATCACGAACATTAAAGACTATAAAACTTCGGAATGGAAAAGGACTACCTACCACTGCCAATTTTTTTCAAAATGACGAGAAAGATCCGAAAACAAAAGTAGAAGTTATACACAAATTTAACAGCATTTCTATCTTTTGAATGGGCCTAACAAATTCTAATCTATATTACATGTTTCAGCAGCCAGGGAAGAACCCTTTTTTTCCACCCCATCGGGATATAATGAACCCCAAACAAAAACCTAATTCAGGTTGTTAATATAATTCTAAGAGAACTTCCCTCACCAAATTCAATGATACTGCAGCCAAAACCTTTGCAATGTAAATAACTGTTATCAATAGGGAAAGGGTTGGTGAGTTTTAACCTCATGTAACAATGCGGCTGGTGCTTGCATCTCCAAATGAAACTGAAGCTAAAGACTTGGAAGCCCATGCCTTTGCATTCATGGCTCCTCCCTGCAAATTGCTTCTCTTGCAAGGCTCCTTTAGGGAATCAAATAACTGTATTGCTCGATCCAGGTAGGCCAGAGGATGCTCCCACAAGCTCCTCAACCTCACGCATACAATATACCTTCTCCAAGCAAATTGAGCACATATACGAAGAAATGGGGAAATGAAATAGAGCAGCCTTAACAACACAAAAATGGTGGCCAAGGTCAAATATGTCTCATGCTGAAGTAAATTCCAGGGAGATCTAGCCCATGAGAATGGACAGCTTTCCTGCTCACTGTTATCATGTTTCTCCTGTTCTGATGAGTGACCAATTCTGTTCAGGGATGCTCCATCCACTGATGCAGTGTAGAGACCTATATATACCCCATCGAAATCCTTTGATAAGTAGTTTCTTTAAACTCATTGCAAGTAAATACATGGAACCATGATTACAAAGAATGAAGGTTTGATGCAGCCCCTCTGTGTATGTCTTTTATAATGAGACAACCAAAACATGTTTACAAATGCATCAAATGTTGATATTCTGATTGAGTTGGAGGCCATGTGCTAAAAACCATTTCCTACTCAAATAATAAAACAATTATCTTCAGTAATATACCTTTTAGAAGAAAACATCGAATTAAACCATTCGTCAGATATTTGCGTTTAGAATTAAGAGGAAAATTTTTTTTACAAAAGGACAAGTAATACAAGAAACGAAGGGAAATCAAAAAGATATAAAAATCAAACCAAGATTTATATGATTTGAAACAAAGAGAAGTTCCTAGCAGAGCAGTTCCAGGAAAGGGGCCTTACCAGTAACATCACCATAGAAAGAGACAAGAGAACCAAGGGATCGGGAGCCATGATAGCGCACGCGCATGGTGGAATTTAAAAGGAAAAGCGTAGGAAACCCATGGACTCCATATTTTGAAAATATGCTGAAAATATGTCATCAATGTTATATTCAATTGACAACACGTTATTGGTGAAAGATAAATCCACAGAAGATATTGGCGACCAAACCTTGGCCTTATGGCTGATTCTTCAATTGCGAAATGAGGAATGGAAGGATACAAGGAAGAGATGATGGAAAAGCTTGGTTTAAAAGATCTAGAGAATGGGCACCAAGACGCATAGAAAAGCACTGCAACGTAATCATGAGTATTCTTGTGAACCATATTCAGTGCCCTCTGCAGTGAGACTTCATCTCCCTTCATAACAACAATGTTTAAACACCATTATTACTTTAACAGAGCATATAAAATGAGGAAATTCATCTTTCCAATGTAATAGTTTTGCCTCTAAATTTTATGGTATGCAGGTTAACCCCGTGAACCCCAATCACTTTAAAGGGGGAAATACAGGGGCATAGTGACAAATGGTATAACGTGCATTATGTGGCCATCATGCAGCCCATTGGTCTCATATTCATATATATCGTCCTCAAAAGTGATTTCCCAAAACACAATTCCAACTCTACTCCCCTTTGTCAGCCAACAAGGATGCTTCAAAAGAATATGAAACAACACACAACTTAGAATACATCCTATAGAATTTCTGACAGCAACATTATCGCAAACTAAACCACGATCATCAGATGTCATACACGTTCTTGGCATTCTAGACAAAGCTTTCAACTCAATAACTATGAACACTAGTGCAGCTTCAAACAGGCAAATGAACTGAAGAATACTTCCTATATTAAAAGTTGACTTAATATTCTATGCAAATCACTTTTAAGGTAGTTCATTTGTCCATTAAATTGAAACAATTCAAAATTTTCAGTGGTAGCAAGCATATTTTTCCTATGATAACTGGAAAAAAAAAAAAAAAGGACAGTACCAGCAGGCCAACCGTAGGGTTTAACGATAGCATTTGCCAAACCTGACAGTTATTGGCACCAGCAGAATGGATAGCAACCTAACCAGCTCATCCTCCATAGAGTACACATTACCATTTCTGGCCACACATTTCTTATCAAAACTGCTTAACCTTGCAAGTGTTAACATCAATTGTATTAACCCGCAAGGGTAGCCCAGTAGTGTCGGGTTAGACCTACACGAACTGTAGACCCGAACGTCAAGAGTTCAACTCTCACTGCTTAGACTTAACTAATCACCATACTTTGCGGGTGATTATAGGTATCTAGGCCGGTTTACTTGCACAAAAATGGGTCCAAAACAACCCTACTTGGAGGGGTTCCTCGTTACAAAAAAAAAAAATCAATTGTATTATTCACAATCTCATAATACTAATTGCCAAATCTCCAGGTCACATTGTTCTCTGACAGATTCTCGCCAAACAATAAACATGAAAAACAACTCATACACCCAATCCAAAATCATATTAAAAATAAATTAAAATAAAAATGAACCCATTTCCTCAATTCCTAACATTATTAACCAAATTTAACAAAATAAAAGCAATTATTAACATAAAAATTGAAAAACAGAGAGAAAAATAAACCATAACAAGCAACGTTTGTACGGATATGTTCAGAAGTAATCACACGTAAAACAACCACAGAGAACATTTTATAAGCGGGGGAAGCTTTGCATACCTCAATAACACCGACATCAAAAGATTCGACCACATTCAAGTGACATATTGAATCTGAAAACCCAAAGATCGAGTGTTTAACTGAATTTAAAGGGCAAACGGAAGGTAACGGAACCCTAACGGGTTCTGCACACGTTAATCTCCCGAAAACCACCAACAGCACCAATCCTGTTCCCCATACCCTCCTCCTCCTCTCCATATGTGACGATGATGATGATATGATGATAGATACAATCTGATATGTATAGATACTATTGGGACCCACTGAAGAAACCCCAAAAGAGGAAGAGAGGAGGTGCGGAGGAAGGTGGGGGCCTAGAGAGAGCCAACCGCATAATAGCGTCCAGGATGTTTCAAGGGGTAGGTGTGTGTGTGCGAGTGAGAGAGAGAGACCGCTAGCAAACTGTTAAATAGATTTCGATAAGAGCATTTTTATCAACGAGTTGTATTTTAGCTAATTAAAAAATAATTTTTTTTATTTTAACTACTCACTTTTTTAATAGATATTCTAAGAGTTTTTCTATATTTTTAACTACTCATTTTAAATATTATTTTTTATTTCTTTTATATTATTTTTTTTGAAAATAATGAAAGAGAGAAAGAGAGAGAATGGAAGAAAAGAGAGAAAATAAAATAAAATATGTTTACAAGTTGTTAGAGTGATACTCTACATTTAGAATATCATTATAACAAAAATCTATTTTAGAATATCTGAAGAGCATCTATTGAAGTATGATTTTTTGTTTTGGTTAACTAAATTTTAGTTATTTTTGTGCTTTACAGCATCTCTTGCAGATGCACTAATATGGTGGACCTAATCCCACATCGATTTGCATTAACTATGAATTACTGTTTATTTTAGGGTTTTTTGAGTGTGTGTATAATTTTTTAAACTTATTTGATCAAAAATATATGGATAAGTTGTTTATTCTATTAAGTACAATTTTTATAAAAAAATTTATGTTTAGGTACAACATTCAAATGAATTAAAATTTTTTTTACCAAAACACTCTCCCTTAAATTATGCAGTTGTCACACCCTATTCCAAGAGACCTTTTTTGGTTTTCCAGAGATATAAGTGTAACTCAACACGTGACAATACATGCATCTGTAATGTAGTAATGCATTTTAAATATCAATAATGCCACCTAATGCTACAATCAAATAGAAAACTCTATAACAAGATACATAACGATGTCGTTTATACCAAAAACAAAATATTAGGGATTCCATTCCATTACAACAACCAATAGGAAACAAAAAAAACAACACTCTTGTTCAATATGTACATAAACTAGTTTTCTTAACCTCTCATCACGACTTTGCTAGTGCTATAGTGGACTCACTTTAAGCTTCAGATTCCTGAAATCAAATATTTTTTTGAGTGTACTGCCTATCATAATAAATTAAAATATTAAAAATATGGATCAAATATCATTTCACCAAAATATGTTCACAATCTAAGGAGAATGTCAAAATCAAAGTGTTTTCTACTCATTTTGAAATATCATAATCTCTGTCAATATAACAACATAATAAATAGTGCACATGTGCTATGAGTCAACAACAACATTTAAGCAATGTCGGGCTATCAACAACATTTAAGCAATATCAAGCTATCTACAAACATTTAAGTAATGTCAAGCTATGTCATGAAAACTGCGCAGTGTCCAAATCAACAACATATAAGCCATGTCAAACTATCAACAACTCTAACACAGTGGATACTACTCTTACAGTCAATCCTTATGCATAACCGATGTAGTAGCCTCTGACCCTAACAGTTAACACATGAATTAATGAAAATAAGTATCGAATAAAAAATAGTTTAACTAATGAAAATCAATGCACAGAAATGTATTTCTTAACGTTTCGTATTCACCACAATTGTATCGTTTCAGACCACGGTACGTTACCGCACTCAAAACCTTAATTCGGATCTATGATTTTCAGTCCAAATTCAAAATCATCAATCATAAGTTTTAAAATATATTAATGACTCATAAGTAATGTAATACATGATTTCAAAATGAATTTGAAAATTTTTGACAGATTCAGAATTGAGAAATTCTATCATGCACTACTTTTCGATCTGAAATAACTAAAAATAAAAAGATGTTATTTTTCAATGAAATTTCATACACATACTCAATTAACATATCTAAGAATGAATATAAAATTTATTTTTTCAAAATCATCCAAAAACTGGATCAAATTAGTCCCTGAGGTCAAAACAGTCATTTTAATCCTCATTTTGGTCCGGCCGTCGGATTGACTTGAAATTTTACTGGGACCTCCGCATGGATGTTACAAAACTTTTGGCACCAACTAGAGGTCAATTGGAGCTCAGAAGCTCTCTCATGTTCCGTTGGGGTGCACTGGTGTATTTCCTTCTTCTTCATCTTCTTCCTTGGTCACTTTGACTAAAACCCTAGGCTCCTTCCACCAGCTCTAACCCCATACTTCTCACCCTTATTTCTCCTTGCTCAGAACACATTTTCACCTAATTTTTGAATCTAAGAACTCATCACACATCACTCTAACAAATCACATAATTCTCAAGCTTCGAATTAAGCTTAAACCCAAAAAAAAAAAAAATCAGTCAAAGTAAACCAAAAATAGGGTTTCTAATTTATGGCCAGACTTACAACTTGCATTTTAACCATCTTAAAAACTTCTGAATCCAACTCTAAGGTCACCAATGGATTCCTAAGGTCCATTTTAGCTAGGAACAACCTTCCCTCCAAAGCTTAACCCCCAAACCCAAGAGATCAAAAATCCACCATGGCCGAAACTTCATCACCAACACCCCATCACCTCCGACCATGGAAAAACTTGAAATAACCACCAAAATACTCCTCTACCTCCCACAACACAGCCATACCAACTAAATTAACCAAAATGACCTCAAACTCAAAACCTATTTCATAAAAACCTAGAACCCAAAAATTTAAAACATAAATTTGAGCAATTGTAGTACATCATATGAAATTCTAATGATACCAAGAGATTCCTAGCCCTCAAATTATCCTAGTAGCATACCTTTAATCATTTGAAGTAGCTTCTTCCACAAATTTGAAATTCAAAATTTTATTCTCTCTCTTACTTCTCTCTTCTCCCTCTCTCCTCTCTTGGTGGTTCTACCTTATCCAGAGACTTGCTGAACTTTTAAGCAACTCCTCAATCACTTTGGAAGCTTGGAGAAGGCTGAGGAGAACTCCTTTGCTGCCAGGCAACAGCATGGAAACAAATGCCATGCAATGACATTTTCGTAAATAACTCAATTTCATTTTTTTTTTCAATTGTTTTTATATATAATTATAAACATATTAGAACATGCACTATAATAATATTTTCTATTATTATTATTTTTTTCATACACATGCATGCTCAGGTTTTACAATTCTCCCCCTCAATAAAATTTCGTCCCCGAAATTCACTTACTTGATGAAAATAGATGAGGATATTGAGTTTTGATATTCTCCTCAGTTTCCCAGGTAGCCTCCTCAACTGAATGACTTCACCACAATACTTTTACTAACGAAATGACCTTATTACGTAATATCTTCTCTTGACGAGCCAAAATTTGTACTGGTTCCTCAATGTAAGTTAAATCTTCTTTTAACTCTAAAGGCTACTCAACCAATACATGAGACGGGTCTAGTATGTACTTATGGGAGCATAGAAACATGAAATACTTTATGCAAATGAGACAACTCTAAAGGTAAATCTAATCGATAAGTTGTCGCCCCAACCCTTCTTGAAATCTCATAAGGCCTAATATATCTTAGACTAAGTTTTCCCTTCTTTCCAAACCTCAATACACCTTTCCAAGGTGACATCCTAAAAAATACTCGATCAACCACTTCAAACTCTAAATATTTTTTGCGTTTATCAGCATAACTCTTTTGACTGCTTTGAGCAGCTTTCAATCGATCTTGAATTACTTTGAATTTATCTGTAGTTACTTGCACTAGCTCTGGACCCAATATTTTTCTTTCCCCCACTTCACTTCAACAAACTGGAGTCCTACACTTTCTGTCATAGAGTACTTCATATGGTGTCATATCAATGCTACTGTGATAACTGTTGTTATAAGCAAATTCTATTAAAGGCAAATTAGTATCCAAACTACCTTTTAATTCCAACACACACGCACACAACATATCCTCAAGGGTTTGGATTATACATTTAGATTGCCCGTCCGTCTAAGGATGATAGGTTGTGCTGAACTTCAAGGTAGTACTCATGACATGTTGTAGCTAAACCAAAACATGGATGTAAATCGTGGATCTCTATCTGCCACAATGGATACCGGAGCACCATGTAAACGCAAAATTTCATCCACATAAATTTGAGCATATTTTTCAAACAAATAAGTAGATTTGACGGCTAAAAAATGAGCTGACTTCGTCAATCTATCCACAATAACCCAAATGGAATCATGCCCGCTTTGAGTTCGTGGAAGTCCTAATACAAAATCCATGGTAATATGTTCCTATTTCCATTTTGGAATAGGTAGAGGCTACAAAAAATCTGCAGGATGTTGATGCTCAGTCTTTACTTGCTGACAGACTAAACATCTTGAAACAAATTCCGCAATTTCTCTCTTCATTCCACTCCACCAATAATACTCTCTCAAATCTTGATATAATTTTGTACCCCCAGAGTGCATAGCATATAAAGAATTATGAGATTCATCTAGAATGTCCTTCTTCAAGGTAGTATCATTTGGCACACAAAGTCGAGTATCAAAGCATAACATATCGTCACCACGAATTACAAAATCTGTCTTACTTCCATTCTGTACTTCTTTTCTAATCTTTTCCAATTTTGGATCTTGATGTTGTAATTCTTTGATACGATCCATAACACATGTCTTACTTTAAATTGTGCTAGTAGAACGTATGTATCAATTAATACCATATCCACTCCCATCCTTCTCAATTCAGTAATATTAGTCATACGGTTACACTGAATGCACGATAATCTCCCCAATGATTTCCTACTTAGTGCATTAGCCACCATGTTAGCTTTCCTGGAATGGTAGTGTATCGAGCAATCATAATCCTTAACTAATTCCATCCACCTTCTTTGCCTCAAATTCAACTCTTTTTGAGTGAATAAGTATTTTAAGCTTTGATGATTTGTAAAAATCTCACATGTCTCGCCATATAAATAATGTCTCCAAAACTTTATAGCAAATACAATAGCAGTCAACTCCAAATCATGAGTACAATAATTCCTTTCATGGTTCTTTAATTGTCGAGAGACATAGGCAATCACCCTACCAAGCTGCATTAACACAACCTAAACCTTGATGAGAGACATCACTATATATCACAAATCCACCACTACCCGATGGTATAGTCAGA